CCAGGGAAGTGGTTGAGTCCCCATCCCTGGAGGTATTTAAAAGACGGGTAGCTGTGGTGCTTAGGGACATGGTTTAGTGGTGGACTTGGCAGTGCTAGGTTAACGGTTAGACTTGATGATCTTAAAGGTCTCTTTCAAACTAAACAATTCCATGATTATTTTTTTTCTATGACACTCTGTCTCACTGCCTTATATACATGCAAACCTAACTATGCAACTGAAACACCAATTACAAATCCATTAATGTCTCTCATCTACTTTGTCCTTATTTCCCAATAAACCACCATAAAAAATAAAAAAATCCAGTAATATGACCTGGAAGGAGAAGTCTGAAGAGCTGTTAAATAACTTACCCATAGGAGTACTGTTTTGCCTTTGAGATTTAAGGACCTTTCCTTCACTGTTAGAGACTGGATCTGATTCTGATGTCCCTTTGAAGCCAGGTACTCTGACATCCAAATCATCCGTTTTCTGTTTAGTAAGTGCTTCAACCTGTGCTTTTCTCTTCTTGCCTTTCTTACTCTCTGTCTTCTCCTTTTCAGAGGGCTGAGGTTTAGGAGTTGCAGAGCCATCTTTTTTTGATTTTTTGTTCTTATGGGGTATTGAAAACCAAGAATTAAAAGATACACCATCTGATTCATCAATTAAAAATTCACATTCATTTTCTATTTCTATATCTTGATCTTTCACAGGAGGAGGCGATGGCGGGGATATTGAGGCTGAATACCTAAAGAAATGAGGGACAAAGTATTCACATCATTTGGGGGAAAAAAAATTTACTTTCCATCTTGCAAATCTAGTAGCAACTCTGGAACATCTAAACACGCTACAGGACGTTCCTCAGAAGAATTATTATGAAGTTCATCATTCATTGCCCTTTAGCTTCCAAAAAGAGCACAAGGCCTGCTTTTTTTTTTGCTTTGGCCTCATATTCACACCTCATTATTTCTCAGATGCTGGAGAGTCAACTTCCTACCTAACCGGTGAGATCCATATTAGCTCTGAAAAAGACTGCTTGATCACTGCTAACTTCAGAATCATATAAGGTTTTCCTGAATCCTCCAACCTACCTATCAAAACATCTCAGGCTCAATCTGAAATGCTATTCAACAGCTACATATTATTCTACTGGCAGACAAAAGCAACAGCACTGTTAAATCCTAACAGCACAAAACTTTGAAAGAACTATTCAAACCCTTTCTCAAGTGGCATTTTTCAGTAATGTTGAACTATCCCAAAACATTCTCCCAGACCATGTTTACAGATACAAGGATGTTGCTCCAGTACTCAGGACTGGGTTACTTTACTAGCAAATTATGTTCCATATTAAGCCTCAAAACAAACCTTTTTCCAAGTGATCCTGTTGCTACAGCTGCTAAGACAGCCGAAGAGAAAGACTTCTCTTTCCGTACAGAAGGCGTAGCAATACGTTCTGTTCCTTGCATGAGAACAACCTGCTCATCTTTCCCAGTCTGAGGTCCTTCCAAATTTTCAACTTCCACGTGGCTCTTCGCTGCAGCAGGGGTATTTTGGTCATCAAAATGTAATCTGTGTATGAGAAACAGCGTTCAAATATAATGCTATAAATCCTGAGTGCACATTAAAGTATCGTGTGGATGGACAGATGCTCTCATTTTCTCCTGCTGACAGCGTCTCACTTCTTATGAATGAGCTTCCATTTGGTAATTTGCTGGAGCACAGGTTAGCAGTACTACTTCCCAGCATAGTAGCAAGCGTTCAAAATCATTGAGGCAACATGGGGTCAGGTTGTGACTCTCGATCAAAGTGAGGGCTGCTCAGCAAGACAAATTCCTAATTTTAGCAAAATGTGATTCAGAAGTTGTCAGGTTTCCTAGACCTTAGGTACACTCTCTTCCCAATTGCACTCCATCAATGGGAGTCAATGTGATCGGTGTCAGTGCCTCTCCATGATCTACCCCAGAGATTCAGTCCTCCAGGAAAGCAGAACTGTGGCTGGGACCACTGGCCCCTATTGCAGCTGGGCTTCAAACTTTCCAAAGAGGAGATAATGATCACAACTGAAGCTGTTCTACTTTGCATAAAACATTTGTATATTCAGAGTGAGAGGAACAATGACTGCTCATCTCTGCTTTAACAAATTTTTTGTTAACTTTTAAGGTCAACACTGTCAAGAGGATTCACTGGAGAAGTCTAGACTATCTGAGAAGCTGATAATTTGGGGCACTTTCCTGCCAAAAAGGAGTTCAAATCCATTCTGACAGGCTTCCAACACTTGGGTACTGCACCTCTGGGAATTAAGTCTTATCATCACAGTATTTAATAAAAAACAATTCTGCCCTTTTTAAACCCAGATATGGAAATTTTCTAAAAAGCTTGGAATTACTTTTCACAAGTTCACAATCCAAACTCATAAATGATTGAAAGCACTGCGTTAATTTACCCTGGGGAGGCAGGGAACGGACACATGACATGACCACCACGTTCAGCTCTACTTACATATGTACAGGAGAACTTTTCACTTCCTCCACAAGAAGAGGTGATCCAAGAGACTCATGATCATCCTCAGGGTCCAAAGATATGGCGGGACTTTTACATAGCGCTTCAACATCTTTTAATATATTACTTGTTTCTCTTTTAGACACAGGAGACTTTGGGGTTTTAGAATCAGCTACGTAATCATGTATTGCAGGCTTCAGGGGTGATTCATGTGACCATCCTGCCATATATATATATAGAATAGCTTTAATTCTTCTACTCAAAACCTTACAAAATCCCAAGAAATAGTTACCCAAAAAAACTTAATTCAATAGTAGTGCTACCAACCTCTGCTGCTGACTGTGTTTAGTGCTGATGCAGGTAAGGACTCTGGAGAATTACAGGCTCTTTTCACAGAGTTAGTTAACCCTGCCTTTGGCTGTCAGTCAATAATGAGACAAAGTAAAACATCTGATAAAGCAACAGTATTTTGACAGGAATACAAATTTATAGAGGACACAATATAACCTCCTTCCCTTAATTCTTACTCATTTGAAGCACAGTTCTATTTTAACTAAACACTTCAATTTTCTATCACATAAGACTTTCTAAAACTAAATGTAAATTTCAAACAAAAGGTTAAACACTGTGTACAGTAAAAATCAATTTGCAGCTTTGAACAGACATCCTGCTAGTCCACAGGCAAGCTATTTACTCTTTTCATTAGAATGAATTAAGCAATTTAATTCACCATTAATAAGTCAGGCTGTGGTTTCGCAAGAATTACTTTGAGATTATACAGTATTCTAACATCAGACTAAAGTAAACAAACACCATTATAAAGGATGCCTGTTCTCAACACTGCCATTAATAGAATATCCTATTTTTACAAAAAACTGCTAGAATCAAAATATTAAAACTAAATATACAAACTAGATTATTGCCATCATTCTCTCAGACAGCACATTAACAAGTCCTTCAACTTGTTTCCACTCTTCAGCAAAGTTACAGATATACAATGTTATTGTACAGATAACTATTTATTGACAAGCTGCTTTTATGCAAGAATCATCTTTCAATTTTATTATCGATCAAATAGCTACGAACTGTGTCCATCTATCTGGCAAAGTGACTGAAACCAACACCAATGGAGTCCAAGACAGCCATACCCACCACCAGTTATAAGGCAGCGTGCTTCAACCTGAGACCGTGAGGAATTTAACTATCCTGGCTGAAAAGCTGAAAAAGCTTTCAACAGCAAAAACCCAAGAAAATAAGCTATTAAATAAATCTAGTTATGGAACATTTACTATTAGAGCACAACAAACTAAGAAAAAAACATTACCAACAACTATTACAGAAGGTTAAATTATAGCCTATGTACTAATACAAGCGACATAGAGCTTATTCATTCAACATTCTACAGAACTAAATCCTACAGAACTAAACTTGTACCCAATGCTACGTTGTGACACTGCCATAACTAACTTACCCTTTGGCTCTGTATTGAAGTCCTCTTCTCATTTCTGACAATAGGAGTTGAGCAACAGGTTGCACTTGGAGAACTTATTGTAAGATCACCGCCACAACCTATAAAGAAAAAAATATAAATAAGGGATTCTTGGAATTGTCCAGGTTTCACTTCTTTTAACAAGTTGCTAAGGCTTATTAAGGTCACGTAAATCCAAACAAGAAAGAAACCAGCTATTCAGGAAGAAGATCACCATTGTAAGACTGCTGAGACAGTTTTGAGCAGCGGGGAAGGGGATGCTTTTAAAGACTGTGAGAAAGACACTATTTTTATCCATTTTATCTATATTTTTTATCTCTATTTACCACGAAATATAATACAAGGAAGAAATTATTTTTTTTTCTTTAACCTGCAAATTAAGCAAAACACCAAATAAAAGCTTACTTTCGAAACAATCCTGTATGAGTTTCAGAACGTTTTGACCTGGCTGTACATCGATCTTATTTCTAGAAAGAGGAAAAAAAAATATTTTCAATCAAAAATAGTAAATGTTGCTGTTCCAGCAATATAAAAGTTCTGTCTACTTAATCGTTTAGATTATTATTTCCACTAGTCCCAACTTTAATACATTTTACTTACCATTTCCATGCACAGACACCTGCAAAGAAACTCGTCTAAAAAAGGATTCCAGGAGAAAAAGCCCCACCGTCACAGATTACGATGAGAATAAAGAAATCTCTCTACATAAAAGAAAACATACAGCTACTGCAACAGCCCTCAGGTAAAAGAGCTCTGGGATGAATAGAGATTCTCACTTCAAAGAAATAACTTTTTTAAAAATCAAGTCCTCAAGTAATGTTGCCTGCACAGTGATCCAGTCTCAGCAGACCCAGAAATGCAATGGGTAGGCTGCACATCTATCCCTTCATACAAGCAGTCACTCTCTGCTTCTCTTTCTACTACTTATCCACAGTTATTCTGTGCTTCTACAACAGTTTCAGCAGCCAGAATTGGCTTGAGGTATCAAATCCGTAAGCAAGTGAACAGCTCAGCAGCTTGGATTACGATTTCAAACCTCCCCGGGACAAATGAAAATGGCAGAAGTGATCCACCAGCCGGACCACGTTGATCACAACCAAAATAACAAGAGAAAAGCCATGGAGTATTTCTCCCATAATGATTATTATATACCTTTAAGAACAGGTAATTTGGTAGATTTGGTAAGTTCACGAAACGCATGTCTAAAAATGGATTCTAGTAATAAAAAGCTCACGGACTTCCGACACGCCTTTAAAGCAAGCTACAGCACTGCAAATACTCAAACTCCTCTAACGTTTACCAGCAAGGGCCATATAAGCTAGAACTCTGCGTGGGCTTCATTTCTCCACCTCTTGAAAGGCAAAATGCTTGCACAGACTACTGCTTCCATGTTCAGGCAGCCTAGTTAGGGGTAGCTTAGGTATAGCTACACCACAGCCTGCTGCCTCAGCAGAGGAATACAAAGGAAATCCTTGGTGCATTGTCCCCCAGCACAATTTGCTCCTCCCCACCATTAAGAAACACAAGAAGTCTGGGAAACATCATATGATCAGTTTAATAAGATACACCCAATAGTTTTGACATTAAGCTCTCAGACAAAAACCAACGTAAGTTTTCCAAACAATTGTATCTAAGAATAAAATTTTAAATGTAAATTACCCTCCTCCATGGCAGAATCTTGCTCTGTAGTCTTTTTTAAAATGATTCTGTGAAGAAATAAGAATCAATTTTTAGTAAGCATGGTGACACTCAACAGAAAAACAAATAAGCGACCAACCTCCTGTTTCTCATGTAAGCAAGTCTGGAGGATTCTCAATCCATTTGAAACTAGTGGGAGTTACTGCAGCCCTGTTTTTCTTAGAACACTGAAGTAGCTACGACCCCTGTAACAACTGCCAGAAATTCAGCTTTCCTCAAGAACCATCAAGCACCTGTTGCATTTAAAGTCAGAGAGACCTACAGGAGACTTACATGACAGAAATCTCAGAGAACCTAAGGATTTAGTTAACATTTCTGTAATAACTACAGAAATAATCTTTTAAGTAAGGAAAAGGAATGAACTACCACAAAGCAAACTAGGACATAACCTTACAACACATCTGCTGCTCTGTGAGAACTGCTCACATGGAGATTCTTACCCTGTGTTTATCACAGGCAAGACCACGCTGACAGGCTGTGAGGGCACATCAGCTGTTCCGTGGTAAAACTAAAGTCTCGATTAACTCCCAGCACTTCTTCATATACTTGAACCCCAAGTATAATCACAGCCATTCGAATAGCAGGCATGACCCCAGTCACCTATTACCACAACTAGAGCAGTAATAATTCAAATGACTGTATATTATCAGTGTTACTTTCTATGCCAATAAATGAAATAAAGCCTGCTGAGCTGGGAACAGGCAAAGACTGTAGAGGATAAAAACAGGAAAGAAGGACAAGTCAAGAAAAATTAGAGAGCTAAACGGAGTGCAGTTTTTCACCAATGTGACAAGAAAATGTCTCCCAAAAAATCTAAATGTTTAGCTGAAAAACCATTATGACCTCTTCTTCATTTGTGTAAACTGGGACAGCGGGTATGTGCGGTATGGAGATTATCTAGTCCTAATGCAACAGAATTCAGCACATTTTTCCTAAATTTGCCATACTGACATTATTTTGCACTTCTTCATGATTCCTCTTTGGATATTACTTCTGGTAATAAAAATAACCAAAACAACATAAGGATTTATTCCACTGCAAATTTTCAACATCAGCTTAAAATGTCACGAAGAAACTCTAAGTCGCACAGGAAGACAACTGACCAAAAGCCATCACTTCAGAAACAGTGCAGAAGCATATGCCACAGCAAATCAGTCACTCAGGCTTAAACTTCTTCCCCTTGCAGCGGAGGGCAGTATAATCAACCGGCAAGCCACTTTTCATACAGGAAAAGGAAAAATTCCTGTAACGGATCTAAAAGAGGTTTTAACTATTCATTGTTATGTTCATACCCCGCTACTCATAAAGAGCTTTTAAGACTTAAGCTCCCCGTGTACCTCTGACAGAGGACGGCCGGAGGAAGATGAGTACATCTCTAGCATACCTAGGCAAGAGTCACTGGCTCTTCACACGCTAACCCGTGAACGGCAGACCTCCCGGAGGAGCCACTGGCGCAGCCGCAGGCAGCCCAAGAGAAAGGGGGCTCCCCGCAGACAAGCCCTCAGAGCACAAGTGTTTGTGCCAGCAACCGAGGCCAAGCGGGAGGGCAGAGCACTAACACCAGCCCCGCTTTTCTCACGGGGAAGCGAGGAACCCCCAGAGCCTCGCGGCGCCATCCGGGGCGGA